AAATAATTGTGTTAGAGGTTTTTTATGTATGAAATGATTGGCCTATTTTTAATGTCAATCATCAATAAAATTGATATAATGTTTTACCATAACAGATACTGTATTAATTTTAAATTCCAAATCATTAGCAAGTAGATTGAGCTACCTATATATTGTCAACACTTCCTAAAGGTGCCATCTATTCCTATTTTCCACAGATTGGCCTATGAACCCACTTTAACGGTTTAAAAAGAGATATATTAGTTAAACTTCTTTGAAAATGATTAGTAACTTCGGCCCGACGTTTCGGATGCTTTGCAACAGCCGTGGTCACGGGGAGACCCTTTAAAGTGTTTTATTTAAATGAGTACTACTCGCGTAAACTATAGACAGCAAACAATCGTATGTAATAAATAGATGTATTCTTCCTCGTATTTGAGGAATATCTTGTTAGACCCGTGAAGGCAATTATTGCTGGTCTTATTCGGCCTTCAATCTCCATATTTAAATAATTAGTATGTAGCGCGAGCCGTCGGGAGTGCAATCAAAGTTTGCTCATTCATATGTATTCCCTAGCACAAACATGGACTCTTCCTGGACCTAATTACGATGTATACATGACCTCTTCAGAACATGGCGTGACATCTAATATAATATCTGTCCGTTATTACGATGAAACTAATTGTATTCGCTTGTCAATGTATGAGACCTGTTCCTGCCACTTGGATTAGTCTAACTAGACGTGAATAGTGGTTAAGTGGTCGTTAAAGGTTTTGTTAATTATAAATCTTATTTCCCTTAGCTTAGTTTAGTTAAATGTAGTTTTTATGAATGCAAATATTTTCTCTCCGAAATAGCATAATCTCATTGTCTCGTTGATTTTAGGCCATTCGCATGTTAATATTATTCACAACATACAAATAACATGAATATATGAGATTTTTTTACTATTGTTTACTGGACGTAATAAAACAAACATTAAAGCCCACTATACAAGAACCTTTGTACAACGTCGATTTAAACATTCAGTAGATCGAGATGTTAAATATTCCAGATTTCTTTATGTTTATTCAAATTAGGATTATCACAATATTAAAGTTCAAAAACATAGATGGAGCTCCCTTATTTTTGACTAGCTTTAGAAGTAGAGTTTCAGAGAGTGGAGCTTTAGGAATTTCATATATGAAACATCTCGAGCATACACGTCCTAAGATATAGTTGATATGCATGAGAAATGTAACCGCCAGTTAAGTCGCCTTAACGTACTACGTATCTACTCAAATGTCTAGCACAAATATGCTTTTCTTTTATATAAAATGTATGTATATATATGTATTTTTGTACTTATACTATTATTGTTACTGTGTTACAAAAAGGAGCGTTACAAGAATTACTCGTAAATGGGACAATTTTATTTTTTGACAGACAAACATGAGGTCCATTTGATGGAAAGTAAAATATCACGGCCAAATAGCATCTTAGCAAGGTGCCCTGACGACCTATTTATAACTAAACCACGATTAGCCCTTTTTTATCGTTTATACTTATTTGCAAATTGTAAGGTGATTAGTAAATGTTGGCTGACCAAGGAAAAGGACTAAGGTCGAGGAGAATTAGATAACATTCATATCAAATACCTCTAATACAAAACACTTGATATCGCGATATGGGCTTTGATATTTGTCACCGGCGCCAGTACGCTATCACACGAGATCAAATTAAAGAGTATGCAGATATCTAATAAGACGTCGTCAGCATATTGGATTGTTCAATGAGTCAAATTCAATGCTCACTACAGCCGGGTGGATCACTCGCAATCAGGTGCTCTTTTATTATCAGCTTCCGATGTGTGTGTGACGCCCTCGTGTAGTACCGCGCTCTTGGGAGGCCCGGAAAAGTGCGATTCCACAAACTACTATATTGTATTTCTCGTACCATACATTAAAACCTCACTCATCGTGTGTTTAAATCGCGTATCAATTGCAACAATTTGGTTACTATTTTGGCCCTACAATAAAACGAATGAAATATTAAAATATATAAGAGGTTTAAAGATAAGAATCATCAGTAGATGCCAAAAATTCTAATTAATAGGGTTTTAGCAATAGGTGTCCAGTTCCACCTTTACATATACGTTGGTAATGTTGAAAAAATGTAAGTCGCACGTTTCCTAGTCGCACATACATCGGGGCCCGCGTCACGCGCCATTCCGTCAGCAATACTGTCTAAAGCAATTTGTATGTAAATCAATTGTTCTTAATTCTATTTATGCCGATGGTTATTGAGCATTACTATTTACTTTCTCCGGGCGAAACTCTCACACGACTCTCGCTCTTATTCTTCGTTGAGACAGGGGACAGTACTGCGCGAATATTTCGGGCACTTGACAAAAAAACATAAGACGAAGACGTGATGATAGGGAATTGTTAATAAGGATTGCCTCACATATAGTACGGCTATAAATTTCATTGTATTACTATAAATAAAGGACTCAGTGGTGCTGTTAAATGTTTATGTTATTGTTACTATCTAGTATAACGTTACAAAACTTCCGTCGATGACTTTAGATCCGCATCATGCGCAAATTCACGCAGAGTTTATAAAAGTGCTTGTCATTAATCGTTCTCACTAATTTACCCCTTCTAAGATTTAGCGAAAATCTAATAAGATGTTTATTGCTACCGTTAGGAAATTATTTGGGAGGTTTAATTCGGATGTGCAAAGGGACTGTTTAAGTAAAGTAAATAAGTAAATAGGACAACAAATCACGCAGATCCGATCGCCCCATAAGATATTTATGTTCCCGAGTTGGCGACAGGCTTGCCTCACAATAATTGATATGGCAATCGATTGCTTTTATTCCGTTTTCAGTTCAAATCAAACAATAAAGGGCATATACTGTTGATTTATTTGATTTCATATGGATGCATAATTGTATGTAATCATAAGCACAATCCTCAATATATGAATGTTTAGTGTTCGTAAGCTGTAAGTAGGTAGTCTGTGGAATATCATAACTTTCGTACATTAACGTCACGTCGGTATCGGGAGCTTTTCGCGGTATCGTGACAACGCGAGCATATCGGATACGGCCTTAATTAGCCACAAGCAGAAGCTGTCCTTTCTTCTTTGACTATATGTAAGGAAATAAATATTGACTGAAACGAATAGATCCTTAAATATCGACCGATGTCCTAACCTGACTTTAGAACAAATTACTTCATGTTTGTAAATATAAATTAATCTTCACCTCATTTGTTACAGATGGGAGACTGCCGCACCTGTACTAAAAGGTAAGTGTTATTATTATTTATGTTTGTTATACGTATAAAAACGGCAAACAGCTAGCAATGGATTTGGTCAAATAATATATCAACCATACGAATTATTTATGGTCATGAAATCAATCGCGGATGTGGCTATCGCTTAAGACAGAAGAATTAATTCACAGCTCCGACTTAAAGTTTATAGCGCGCGTTGTTAAGATTAATTTATACCCAAATCGTGCACTATTAAAAAAACATAAGTTATTTAACATGCAAAAAGTTATACCGTTGTATGTACATATGTATAAAGGGTAGCCTTTGTTTCAAATAAAAATAAATTTAATAATATAATTCTGAATGCACTAGCCAGTTTCTCTTATTAGTCTTTCGCAGCGTAGGAATTACTAGGTCTAGAATGCTCAAATTGAATTATTCATAGTAAACGCAATAAGAAGTAGATTTTAGTGCGGATATCTCATAACGGTGAGGTTTATGACGTCATAACGGCTACGTGTAACCTCGCTTTTACTTAACGATATAACGTCGCACGTGATCGTTTTGCCTTTGAATTTTAATGCACTCTGTATTTTGTAGTTATTAGTGTTTATTCTAAGTACTCTCAAAATGTAAAGTCTTTTATACAATGTTAGGACATTTTGAATGGCTCGTGACTTCTGCATTACCGTATGAAAATTATTATGAAGTTTCGTTAGATTCTAAATATACGTGTGTCATAGTAAATAACTCAACAAGATATCAACAAATATTTACGTAGCCTACTCGTACTAAGTAAGGATCTACTATTATCACCTAAACGGTAAAGTTAAGAAGAGGCTGCTTCCCGTTACCTTTTCCTTAAGAAAAGAGATCAGTACAATATAAATAACGGCGTTACTGTGGCATGAAAATAACTTCTGGAGCTTTAGAAGTGTCGGCTAAGCTGAAGAGCTAAGGCTAATAGAATCGTCTCAGCGTGTTGCCATATGGTAGCTCGGTCTCTTGGTGATCACTCGATAAATCATCCCACACCGAGATATGAAAGCTTCACGTGCAAGCAAAGGCTGCGGTGCAATAAAGGCTCACACATTTTATATAAAGTTAGAACCTAACTGGGAATTTGTCTTATTTCTATTTCAGTTGTGGAAAACCCTTATTTTTAAAATCTTGTATTCAAAAATATTTATACCATTAAAGGCATTGATAGTTCTCTAATTGTATTTCGACAAAGCTTTGCTTGATGCTGTCTCCAAATGTGACGGTTAAAACAAACCGGTGTTCCCCTACTAAGTAACAACTATAACTTTTTAAACAGAAGACGGATTTTTTAATCTTGCACAACGTGACAGTATTATAAGAGATTTGCACATTATCCTTGCGATAGACTCAGTTACGCTCACTGTGCCACCACCACGAGCCAAGTTCCCGGCGTGGTTAGTGCGAAATGATTGCGTCTCTAACTGCACAGTGACGTCTTAACACGGCACTTAGCTGCACTCCCCGCGTGCTATTACGTGATGTGTCTTCTAAGGTTGGACGCAGCACTTTCAAAATTGAACGGCGGTTTTATAGTTCGAGGGAGCATGAAGATATAATAACATCGCTTACTTGAATATTTTAGTTGAATACCTATCGAAATCCCTCCTAAACCACCTTCCATAAATGGCCAACCTAACCTGATATAAATTATGACAATAAAAAACTGACTCTACCCAAAATGCAATTAGTGAAACAGAATTCCCGAGTGCGCTTGATTTGCTAACCGTATCCATCAAGAGTGGTCAGGTGAAATCGTTCGGCGCCGACTCGTCGGTGGGGGAAGGTGAGGGAGACGTAGCGGGGGCAGAGATTAATTACTGTTTGATCCGACAACTGGACCCTAGGTACCGTCACGTCGACATTACTCTGCTGATTTAGTACTGCCAGGTAGTCGACTGGTAACTGCCTAGATGCGAGGTGGTACTATAAAGCACTGTAGCAAAATGAATGTATACATCGGATGGATCAAACGTTCAAGGCTCGTTCGCTGTTCAGATTGATAATTATTTAAAATATGCGCTCATGAATACGTTAAATCTCTTTCTTAGGATTAGGGCATTGTATAAAGGCTAGTACTTAAAATATAATCGCGAAAAATATTAGAAATTATCTTGTCAAAGACAGTAGAAGTCTACTTGCTAGTTAAAAGAGCCTCGTCTCGTCTGGTAGAAATTGTCTTTGACACATTCGTTAGTCGAGATTAAAGTGATAACTAATAGGCTGGTTCCTATCGTGAGTCGGCCTAAAACCAAAACAACTTTACCCGGGAAAGGTTAAAAAATGAATAACCAGGTTCCCACGAGCCGGATCCCGGGTATGAGGGTAACACGTGGGTATTAATTGCTATAAGTAATGACCCTTGTTCGTTTGACAGCTTGACACCTGATGCGATACGTTACTGGAAGCATAGATTATTTTGGATTTACAGATTGCTTTCAACATCAAATTATATTCGTCTCGGAAGTCCGAAATATTCTAAAATCTCCTTTATTGTCTGAGAACGTGATGCGCCTGTAACCCGAACCAAATTATTATAAAAAGACCTAAGTTTCGCAAAGTAAATATAGTAAAAGCGATTATGTTTCTAAGTTGTAAGTTAAGAAAGTAATATCGGTGAGCATCTGTAGCGCATCCAGCAAGTTGTATGTGACGGCCATTAGTGGGATATGAAAGAACAGGTCAGCTCGGCTCTAATCGACGCCGCAATCCATCACTCACGTGAATAGGTGAGACCGTACCGTCAGCATAAGTGATATAAAAATATAGCCATGATCTTACATTGCTGATATGTTTTCCAGAAAATGTAACAATTGATTTGCTTATTAGGAATTAAAAAAAATAGTAATGTCTTGAATGACATCTGGCGGGTTTTAACTTGGTCACAAGTTACAATGCTAATGTATTTGCTGACGGTAGGGACACGGCAGAAATGTGTCGTGCAATTTGAGTGCGGCCGCACGTGCTAGTTGTAATGACGCCGCGATGTCGCTCCGGCTCCTGATCGATCATTATATACTAACGTTGAAGCACCTTACGCTTTAATCTTCCCTGTCTCCATTTGCAAATTCAAACTGTTTCCTTAAATTATCGTATCAAACACTCCACAATTATTAGATCCCAATGATTCCTCTATTAGCATTTCACAATGTCATATTTTTAAAAGTGATGTAGGTGTTTAAGTATCTAAATTTTCTTGATTAATATTGTTTTCTACGTACTCAATAACAATGAAAAATAGTTTTTAAAGTTCTGTACCGAAAGGGTGAAAATAATCCTGTTACTGAGAGCGTAAACTAATGCTGTCTGCTTGTTTGTCACCTGTGTTTGTATTTCAAGAACCGTGGTAGCTGGAGAGTTATTTTTACAAATTGTATATTTATGTTCCCGCTATGACAAATTATAAAACCAAATTAAATAAAAAATGAAAGGAAGATATTGTCATTCAAATGTACAATGTCATCTGAGAGGTGGTTTAATTGTGGACTTAGTCAAATGCCCGCCGTGCTACTTGCGCTTGGGCCGTTTCATTTCTTTATCTTTCAATAATCTTATAACATCGTTGTGTCTTTAGAACGCAGATGATATACCTATGTTCTGATATGTAAGTTCATAATCTTTATTAAAATAGAATGTACTTTAAAAAATTGACTTTCACATACCCTCTGGACTCACTCGTAAATCAATCCTACCAGTTTCAATGAACTGTTCTCTCCTATTGCTAGACTCAGTCATACTCAGAGTAGATTTGTGGACCTAGGCGATATTTGCTATGACTCACACAACAGTCTCGGTCGATTAATTATTAACACACTTTAATACATTTTCTAAAGGTACTTCTTTTGCTTTTTTGTTTTTTCGTTTTTTCTCATATTTTAATGTGTAAGTTAATTATCCTTCAAATTGTACAATGTGCTCATCTCACTATTATAGACTTTTGTTCACTGTATTCGCTCATAATTGTTCTTCACAAACTGGCATCCCCTTTAACTCGTTTCGTTGGTTAAGTACGAATTTGTAAGAATGTTGGCGATTCGAAATAAATTTATTTATCAAGAACCTAGTCTCACATTTATCTACGTCTTACATAAGATGTTGAATTAACTGTGTTTGTAATCGTTTCGTGGGGAATATCATATCCCAAGATTAAATATAATAATGTCGAATTGTAAAACACATCGTGCACCGTATATCGTATTTCACGTAACTGCATCACATTTCCATTTGCCATTAGAGGCGCATCTGGTGGATCTGATTGCTGGAGGTGGCTCGCCTCATCTGCTAATCCATTACCTCGGCCCATATTTAATTCCAACCTTGCAAAAACAGCAAAACAAAAACAGTAGGACTATTGCTATACATCTATTTGTTACTTTTATTGTGTATTACTAAGTTATGGAGTGGCAACTACTTTGCCGTAATTTCGGCGCAGAATCGCCATCGATGATGACTTAGAAGATTATTGCCTTAAGCAAAAAAGAATTCAAGCATATAGCGTCGAGAATTAATAGGGTCATCGTAGAAAAATGTGTGCAGAGGGGCTGATTGTCATACCCAAGTAATGTGCTTACTGTGTAGTAGTATTCTGTGCTCCGTACCCCCTATATCGAGCAATTGTCCGCGCCATCCGTGCACATGTCGGTGCCCTTCACGTATAAAATTTGATAAATTGCACCGCCAACATGTGAACTACCCTCTTGGCTTAAACGGTGAGCACTCTAACATAGAAACAAACAAAAATAAACGTTAACACTTGGATATTGAGTTCACATCAGAGGAATGAAGCTAGATAAAGGACGCTTTTGCAATCGGTTAAGTCGGTTGTGTCAGTTTGGTTCGTAACTTATAAAATATAAGGGTGGTTTTGAGTCGGTCTCGACTACCAAATGCAGTCGGAATGGCCGTGCGCGTGATTGTGAGGGACGCAAGGTAAGATAATGCAGATGTTTGCGAAGTCTGAGGGAAGGCTCCCTCTATATTGATGATCGCAACAATTTCGCTTAACGTTTTCAATTAATATAAATGCGCTGATCCTATTATAGAAGTTCTAAGTGCACGGATATCAGTAATGGCATTCGGTTAGGTATTCTTACGTACCACCAACACAAAAGCTGCACAATCGGACTTTAACATATGTTCGTAATTTTTAAACATCTTTAACCTATAATGTACGCATGAAAGGATAGCATGTTGAGAATATACGTTTACTGAGGAATTTGACCGATCGAATTGTATTATGTCCATTTTTAATACTTATTGTAAAATCATTACTAATTTTGGCGTGAAACTCAAGCTCATAAACAATCTTTATGTCTTAATATAAACTACCCCCTATACGGCTATATTTATACAATCGTAAGATGAAATTACGCAAACCACAAATGTTTGTTCGTAAAAAATTGAATTTGCGAAGTTCGCAGTCGGACTCGAATAAAAAGCATCCATCAATTCCGAATCCCGGTGAAAGTTCCACCGTTCGGCGCGGAATCGATATGAAATTAGCTAATGGAAACTTGATAGCCGACAAAAAACTGATTCCCCTTGATCCCCGCGAATGCATTCGCGACAATAAATCTCCGCATTGTTCGGGCGACAGATGGCGTGTTACCACCCTCCTAGCACAGGTAACTATATCCGATAGCCCTCGCCAGCGCTGCTTAAATTGCCGTCCAACGGAGTGATTAAAACGACAGCGACGCTAGCGCTTGACAGGTAACTGCATTAGACACGTACAATAGAATATTCAATTATGTTAATGCCACGTTTGAGCCATGTGGCCGATTGTCCGCCATTTTTGTTCAGGCGTGTGCACAATGAATCGCGATTATGACGCCTGTTACATTGTAACGGGTAGATTTAATGCCACTATTTTAAATGTTATTTTAACTCTATTTCTCCAATCTTCATTGAATGCATTTGTTTTGTTTTTTTTGAACACCTACGGAATAAACTTCACCAACAATACCTATTAAACTAAAGAATATCTATTTACACGACAAATGAAGTAAATAGCATTTAAATCTAATCAAAATTACACATGGGATTGTTTCGTGCAAGTTTTTCTTATTTTAATTAAGACTACATTGCGAGATGGCGGCAGATCAAATTTCAATTTAAACTTTTCGCATTAACTCTCGGTACGGAGTAAAAATACGCGTTTTGGGAGTAATCGGGCAATATTCTAATGACACTTAAGCTCCGAAAGTAAACCGCGGATTAAGGTCGCGTGTGCCCGCATTTACAGCGTTTTTTTTTAAATTCCCGCTGTTGGCTCAACAAAAATAAATCTTAAGATTGAAGGAAAATTAAGAACTGTTGGACCGTTGAACGATATCAATTATTTATTGGCTTTTTTCAGATGTATGTATTCTGTAATAATGCGTTGGATGAAATCTAATGTTGCTTGTTGAAACCTATTTGAAATAGTAATACGAGTTGAAAATAAGTCCTAATTATATAGTGACAACAGTCATATATTTTGCGCCTTCAATGCTTTAAGTAAATAACTGTTCGTATCAATCCCGCTGCAAGTGAGAAGTCGGCGTAAAGGTTACGACACGATTATGACGCGCGTTGATTGCACGCGTAATTATGCGAGGGCCCGACTAAATTATATTTTTACGACCCGTCTGTTTTATGCATTTATATTCGTTCGTTTGTAATGGATTGACACTGAATTACATCGTAATAAAAAAGAGGTTCCAGCTCTAAAATATTTTTTTCCAGTTGCATCATATAATTCGCTTTTTCTTTTACCAGAACTAACAACAAAAAAATGCAATACCTAAAAATATTTGTTACCTAAAAAAGAAAACTGTTTATTTTCCTTTAAACAGCAGCTAAATAGCATAAAAAGGATTAAATGCTAATACATATATCTGACCGCCACTAATAAGAAATTATCGCTCGTTTGCGTTTCGAAGGAGAACGTGAGACGCGTGCCTTTCCACAGATAATAATAAATCCATAGATAACAAACAGAGCGGGATTAAATAGCGGCAGATATTATTTTGTGCCACAGATAAAGTGTAATTATTGTTTGATTTCATATTTTATGTTGTCCTCGATTAGATACACCCAAATATCGCCTTATTAGAACACTTAAATATATATTTGCGTTATTTAATTGCAAACCTTTATTATTATTTTTTTAACAATATTTAAGAAGTAAATAATTATGACAAAAATAAAATAGAGAAAAAAAGAAGTTAATGTGGCCCATGAGGGGATCGAACCCGCGACCTTCGCGTTATTAGCACGACGCTCTAACCAACTGAGCTAATGGGCCGATGGCTAAACTCTTGAAATAAGGGACCACCATAAGAATAGATGCGTTATTGCTCCTATCTTACATTATAATTAGCAACATTTTTACAAGCAGGTCTAATATGAGCGAGTCCATGAATATTTATCAGGGTTGGGATTAGTTCTCAGGTGATAGGAGCTCTAGTAGATGTCATCGTTTAGGTGCAATAAATCAATCAGTTTTGCAGTGGGTGGAGTGGGATTTAGGCGTTTAGTCCGCACTGAGAGCTACGCAAAACTACTGATAGACTGAATCACAATGAAAACTATCGAGGCTGTTTATTATATTTTACTAAACAAAGGAATTTTTTAAATATTGTAAAGACATAAGTAGAATTGATGCTATAACAATTTGTTCAAACAGACCGTATGTATTACAGACCTAGCATTAATTGTAAATAAAGAGATAGGATAACTATATTTAGAGACTGTAGGAACTGTAAGACTGACTGTAGTAAAAAACTATCTCTACTCTTAACTATAAAATCGAGTTTCTTTCTGCGTGTGTCTGGTGCAGACTCATAGCAGCTCCATGTTTTTTGTAATCCAGGCTCCTAGTGTCGAGTGGTGTGGTCGCACTGTCACGTTGACATGCATTGTTGTCGCACCCGGGTCACGTCAAACGACGAACAGACAAACGTGCATATCACTTGTTTTATGACAAAAATCATGCTACCTGTTTCTCATTACTACAAACAAGTACATAATTAGAAATAATTAAATTTAAATAAACTATTTTTGCACATGAACTAATTTCCATTAGATTTGTTTTGATTGCTTGCTTCTACTAATCGTGTTTTATAGAGGGAAGCACATCTTGCTTGCACAGCTTTGTGCCTTCACTGAACTTTAATCTATGTTTTGTTCTTTTGAACCCAGAATAACGCAGAACGTACAGCGAGAAGCATAGGTTATATAAATAAATTTTAATTTACCGCGTAGGTACGTTCAACAAAACCTCTTTAAAAACCAATGGCAGATTCTTATTGGCTCGAACATAAAGCGCACATGAATATGTCGTCGCATACAAACATATCCAAGACGGCTAGCAATAATCCGTTTACTTTTATCTTCAACCCTTGTTCCAAACCGTGGTACGACTTACTTAGACGTTAGGACGTATTCCAATGGCATAGAGTGGGTAATTGCCTGGCCAACGATAAAATGGTTTTTGCAGTGTCCATCAAAGAGGTTATTACCTGAAGGACATAAAGTCCGCAGCTCGAAGCGAAATGCAAATAGAGGAACGTAGAGATGGGAGGACCGCTGATATCATCTGTTCGGGCAATGTCTATTTTTTGAATAGACTTTATTTTAATAGAAAATTTTTATTGTAATAAGTTGCGTAGTTGGTGTGCCAGAACAGACTAAATTTTGTAAAACTTTATTGTCTTCCTTTATTTTATTAATTTGAACTTAATTTTTTATTATTAGTCATCGTTGCATATCTATATCCTCGCTTACAGTTGCACTAAATTTAATATTGACCTCCAATCCTTCTACGAATTGGAGTACTTTGGGAGAGTAAAAATAATAATTAGTTAAACCTTTAAGTAACCGATTCATATATTTTTAAGTAAATGTTGTATCAGACTATCTATAATGTTCTAGCCCATCACTACTTAAAAACCGCTGACCAGTCTCGTCTTGTCGGTCCGTTTACGAGGGCTGTTGTAAAATGTAAAAAAGTGCAAAGTGTTTGTTTATCGCGGGGCGTTCCGATTGAAACCCACCAATAAACGAAACGTTTATACAACTTTCGATTCGACACTCTAACTTGGCGAATCATTGTGAAGAATGGGCTTACAGATTCTTCCGGAACGTTTGGTACCGAAAAATTTTTCGTTTTCGTTTGCTTAAATATTTTTGTCCGATTTGTTGTTATATCGACAACTTAGTAAGGTATAATTTATGAAAGGTTTCCTTTATATGAATAAATGTGAAATCCTGAGTTTGTATTATATAAGATCTAATCTAATAATTTCAGTTTTCAAGATAATAAAATATATCCGTGTTGTTAAAGTGATATTGTAATACTTATAACAATTTTGAATTATGAAATACTTGCGAGAAACGAATTATAAAATACCGTACATTATTTTACCCTGTCTGATAATAAGAACGAATCTCTCTTCAAACGCAAGTAAGATCACTTTACCTCAAGTCAATAAAAGTGATTCTGATAATTACAAAAGGACGGTGACCATCCCCTATACATTGACCTGACTGATAACTCTCTTTAACTGCCTAAAAGTGTAAGTCATAAGCGAAGCGATAGTTTAATATTAATAATTGATTAAGTTTCCAATCCAATTAACTCCAATACCAACTGCTTAATTGTGGCATTGTGTACACCGAGTTATTAAAAGCACTAAAAAATATATTTTATCGATAGGGAAAAAGTAATACAAATTTAAAAAATGTATAGCTATATGGGGTGTAAAAGTTATTCTGTACAAAATATAAATTGTTTTATAAATCGCGAAAAATGCAGTATTAAAACTAGCGTCTTTAACTTGAGCGATGGAATTCATCGGAAGGGTCTGCAGAAAAGGCCCACCTTCCACTAAAGTAGTAAATAGCGGGATTAACTACTGGCATAAATCACGCGTTCGCGTTCTGCAGATAACAATCTTCGATAGAACCTGTTTACTTTCCAACTTCGATAACTTGTCTGTTGATTGAACGGCGGCTTATCTCCTGTATGAGAAATGTACAATAGTTAGTTGCGGATGGATCGCTTCTGGATTGAATACAAAGTCACTGAGATCGGCGTACGAGTAGAATAAACGAAAACCAATTTAAAACAAAAACGTGTAATTTGTCTAAGCCAGGATAAGCAATAGACTCGAGGTTATAGTAACAAGTTAGTGAATTTATAATTAAACCGTATTTTATCCAGGCAGGTCCAAAATTGTTGACGGAAAGCAAAAATCTATAGGCGTGAACTATCAAAATAGCATCCTAAAATGGAAAAGCTCTATGAAAACCGTGTAATCAAAACGAAGAGCTATCTTAGAGCGAGTCCCTGCACAATTACGAGCAGATCGCTTCCCATCTAAGAAGGTGATTCTTATTATTTTTCCCGCTTCCCGAGAGGGCTCGTTAATTGGAGGAGTATTTTATTAAGGCCAATTTGTTGGGAATACCTGCCAGATTGCCAGACCCTCCGATTTGTTTGAATTTTTCTTAAATTGAAGCGCTTAAGATCGGATGCCGTTCCCCTTGATTGCTGTAATTGCTTGGTTTTTAATTTTGTTTCAAGGAATTTTTGTCCGAACTTTGGTGTTTGAAGGTTGCATAATATTTTTGTCATTTCGGTATTCCTGATAAAATAATATTTTTTTTAACTATGATATGATTATAGAGCACTGTT